AGTTTATTTTGGCTATAACACGGGTTGATCAACTTTTGGGATATGTATCAGACCTCGGGAACTGGACTTTTTGACAACCGATTTTCAACTTTCGCGCATATGAAACAATCAGCCCATTTCCTTGAAATTTAATATATATAAAACAGGGTGTTGAAGCAATGAACATAAAATTTTTTTTTGGGAATATAAGGAAAGCAAACTAGGAGAAACTCTACTAAGAGCCAAATTTAAATTTTTCTAGGTATGTTAACTAAAAGCTTACCTAGCGTCCTTAAAATTGGAAAGAAGTATTTAAAGGCATTTTTATAATCTTCTGCAACAATTTTGTTAAACTAGACAATATATCTTGCGGTCGGTTATAGGCTGATCACATCAGATTTTTTTCATTTTAAAATCTAGTATGTTCACAATACTTTCTAGTAAAATAATATTGTTCGGAATATATAATATTTCGGAATCATATCAAGATTTAATAATGGTAATAATAAGTTTAAAGTCTAAAGGGAAATTTCGTCAATATAAACATACAAGAATGTACAAATTAAATATACAAAGTAAATTGAAATTGATCTAACATTATAGCTTCAAAAAATCTTCGATCTTGAAATAAATCTATTTTTAGTTGGCTAAATTAATTTTATGAAAAGTTATTTTTAATTTCTTATAATGGAAACAAATAATAAAATAAAATTTTCTTAGAAGAAATCGTAAGCCTAATCAATCATATACAACAATTATAGAAAATGAAATTGAGTATAATTTGTAAGCTCTTGTAAAATAAAACGATAGAAATCTTCTATACGAAATGATGTTCCTATACTATTATAATATTATTAATTTATTCTAAATTAGATATAATATTATTAATTTATTCTAAATATATAACAAAAAAAGGCAAATTGATTTGAATATCAGTAAATAATTTATATATAATTACTCTATAATGACCTAATTGTTATTGTTATAAGCAATTACCATAAAAGTGTTTTATATTATCATAATTATTTTGTATATATGTATACGGTCATAAAGTTGACTGTATATTGTAAAATTAATTTTTATTTTATGATACAAGTATAAAAGTTTGATTTTAATGTTGAAACAAGTTGTATTACAACCTATACAAGCCTTTGAATAAGAACCCCTTTGGCAGGAAACGTTATACCATGGAAAATCAGCCATTATATTTAATCACGAATAATATACGATAACAATAAGTAAAAGCTGTTAAATTCAGATAATGAAATTAAAAGACATGTCAAGATACCACCATACATAGTCCTTTACTTTACACTTCTTCTGGTCAACACTAATTTCAACATGGTTTGCCTACAACATCAAGAGGTTGCCTTAGCAATAGCAAATTCGTAGAATAGAGCTCTTGTAGAGCCCATTCTATATCGCTTATAATAAATAATTTAATTAGTATTAATAGTAGTGCGTCTTATTGTTCTAATTGCAAATGAGGATCCACTGCAGCAAACGTAAATAATATTTTGATAAATTTTTTAAAAAATTAAAAATTTTAAAATTACATCCTACAACTTAATGAAGGGTATATTTAACTTTGGTATTAAGCCTAAAAAAAAATTTGAGCGTAAAATATTTATGTTGGTATAGACGTGACCGTCCGTCTATTCACCATTTCGCACGATAACGCAAACACCTCAAAATACCAGCAAACTTTCAGAAATTCATTCCTTTCTGACATGGACAGCTGCTAGTGTAATTGAACTAATTCGAATAACAGGTTTGTGGAGATGCCATACAGTTCAAAAATAATATTTTAATTATTTCGAAAACTAATAAAGCTAGCTGCATGAATTTAAGCAATCCTGTGTCCAATTATAGCTCAGATATATTCAAGAAGTTTTAGTATACTCCATGAAATTTGACAAAAAAGTGCCGAATCATAGCTTATATGCGTCTCAAAAATTTTATTTAGCTGGCTTAATAGTTGTACATTTTATAATATTGTCGTAGGGTATAATTCAGGCGCCTCAGCTTTTTATGTTTTATTAGTGCAAAGTTATTTTCGCTTACGGAAGCTTTTTTCATCTTTTTTTGCAATTAATGTTTTATAATTTGACTGGTATTTTTAATAGCTTACTAACTTTAAGAGTAATAAAAATATAATTTTAATTTTATTGCTTTCAAAAAACACTAGATGGCTGACATGTGACCATTAAAGACGTTGTTAATTATTTGGAATGCAGACAAATATGGAAAAATTTTAAATGAAAATTTTATTTTTTATTATTTTTTATTTGTATGACGCTTGAAAACTTGAAATCTATTTTTAATTTTGACTAAATTTTGTAAAACTAAAATTCAAATTTTAAATATTTGCTACAATATACGTCAGAGACTGCACTGATACTACTTTTAAAAATTAATTATTAACATACTTGGAAATTTCTTAAATTATTTTAAAGACTCAAAAATAGTGATAAAAAACTTTTTATATTTAATATTTACTAACTAACTGATTTAGTAACTATAAAACGTGAATGAAACTGAAAATTCCCCGATTCAATATACAGTCTCTCATCTAATTGTAGGTATACCTAATATTTTTATATTGATTCTGAAATCATCGTAGGTAGGCAACAAATTATAAAACATGATACGGTTATCATTTGCAAAAATGGAAAATCAATGATTCGTAACTTAATATTTCTAATAAAATTGAAAAAGTCACAATATTTTCAACTGAAATGAGACTTGTGATTGTTGTAGTTAAAGAGACTCGCACTGATTAATTTGACTAAAATTTCATCAACTGCAAGCGGGAGCGGGAGCTTAGTATGAAAAACGGAGTTACGTAGAAATTCGTCACGAGTTCGGAAAATTATTAGATATAAAGTTTTTTAAAATTATTAGATTTAAAGTTAGATATTCTATGACTTGCAGTTGATTGCAGACCAGAATTTTATTTGAACTTTTATTTTAATTCCAGACTAAATTGAAAGTTCCGAAATATTCAATATCTCGGATGTTCGAAAAGTGTATTACTTTTTTTAAAATCTTTAATAAAATTTCCCTTCTAATTTAATCCGTTTTAACAATTTGTTTTCACATTCAAAGGGCAAGTTTATGAGATTTACTTACAGTGTTTTGGTCAAATTATTCTCGAGCACAATTCGGTAATTATTTTATTCCCTTAATTATGGTTAGTTAATTTTATAACAAACAAACTTTTCTTTATAATAAATATTATTGTATATTATAAAAATTGTAGTGTTGTAAAAAAAATTTCCATTGTAAATATTTAACTTTTAAATTTTGTCATTTATAATAAATTCATGGAACTTTCCTTCTTTTGTTTATTCAATTTTTAACTTAAGTTTTATATCACTTTTTCATGAAAACTTTAAAAATAAAATTGTCATCAATTTTTCATTTCTTCTATAAAAAATGAAAATTGTGAATTTTTATTTCTTGGATTTATTTTGAATGCACTTTTGTATAAATGTATGAAAAAAATTTTAACATGAAAATGAAATTTCAGTATTTTAATAATTAATTTAAAAGAATTGCAAAACTTTTATAAGTTGTCATGTTGCATAAATAATAACATGTATGAGTGTTCTACTTGCAAAGAATTATAAATCTTATACATAATAGGCTTTCAATTTTTAAATGAAGATCTTGTTATAATCAAGAATTTAAGTGTTTAAAAATTATGATTTAAAAACATTCCAATTTACATTAGCACTACACCTAGGCCCCTGACAAATTGCAGTATAGTAGCAACTCCAAGCTGCGAGACTTTCATTGCGGTCATAAAGCTCCCTCCGAAGAATCTCAGTTGTAAGCGAGCTATCGCTTCGCATTCCCACAATAACTTCTCCACCATTTCGTACTCCTCCACCGTTTCGTACTCCTTATTTTTCTTAACTTCAATTATTTTACTATACTATAGTTCAACATGGTATTACTCATCTTAAGAGAGTTTTTAAGTAAGACAACTAATCATAATAGTACGAGTTATGTTGGAAAAGTGAACTAAATTTATCTTTTGCCTGCCTATATATATTTTTGTTTTTTGCTAATTTATTTGTTTTTACAATTAGTGGACTGTAAAACCGAAACACTTCATAACGGCTGGCCGCTATTCACTCTGATTTTATAGGGCAAATGTCAAATTATAATATAAAATTATTGATTTCAAACCATTTTTCGGGCGGCAGTAAAATATTTTTATGGTGAAATGTCACTTTAAACTGAATTGATTTAACGTTCATTTTCCTCTTGCTAATAATTATGAAATTATTAATTTGAGATCTTTGCTCGGGCGCCAGTCTCTTTATGTTGAAATTGCATGAAAGGTGATGAGAGTACCTTATAGGTAACAAATAAAGTACTCTCACCATCCAATTTTTCATTCAATCTTTATTATTTCTATAAATATAACTATGATGATCGGATGGAAAATGTAATCAATATTCGGTATTGTATTTAAATAAACCTTTTTTTATTGCTATTAAATAACTTTATATTGCTTCTTATAAACGTGACTTTTATTACATTTTTAAATAAATTTTAATACTACGTATGTATAGTAACTATATTTTGCATTCTATATCATATATACATACATACATGTATATATAGGCATATGTATAATGTCAACAATATAATGACTTGTAATTATCATTTTATTAAGAAAATCTGGTTTTATTTAATTCTGTTCAATAACAATAAATAATAAGCGCCAGAATGTCTTCATAAACTAGTTTTTATTTTGCTATGCCATTTTTGAACAAACATACAATTTTTATAGATTAAAAATGTAGTGTGTATGAAAAGGCAGGTGTACGTTAATTAAACGACTCTATTTAAAACTATATAGTTATAAGAGCTATTAATGATAATTCAAGTACAAGTAGAAAGAAAGAAAATTTTATATGTTGTTTTAGATTATGTTTTTATTTTTTTTATTTTTTAAATTTTGAGAATTTTAATTTTTCAAGTTTAGGATCAGTTGATGATCAAGTGTCAATAAAATAAGAGTGTTAATATTTTATAGAGCAAATTTTATTTAAATTAATTATCAACTTTTGAGTTCTGAATTAAAAAAAAAAAAAGAAAAATTGTTATATGACGTCACACTTGTCCTTCAATTTCAAGAGCTTTCAATTACATTTTAGTTGTGCCTATAAATATGATGTTGTTTTTAAATTTATTAATATTTATTTTATTAATTGTAACACAAACATTACAAATATTTGGTGCACGTAATCGTTTTACATTTTGTTCGAATGAAGAAATTTATAAAATTGGTACTAAAACCGTATGCGAATATTTATTTATTCGTAAACCGGTTTCATGTTTAAATCCAATACAAGTGAATACTAAAGCCTATATTAATTGCCGTTATGGTTATGCAAGTAAACAAAATATAAGTGAACAAAAAATTGGATGTACATATTCTGGTAAATGGTCTGAACCACCAATGGAATGTGAAGATGTTTGTGATGGCACACCAAATCAAATTACGTTGGGTCTCAAAGATAAATGGTATATTGAAATGAAAGGAATAACAACATCCTGTCCTGGAATAATATTAAATGCGAAAATATTATTAACAACCGCTAATTGTGTTCTTGAATATCGTCCACATGATCTACAATTGGAAACTGTTGAACCCGATCCACAAACATTGGTAGTTAGAGCAATGCACTATGATAACAGGTACTTTTTTTTTTTTTTGGTTTTTGTTGATAACGTTGAAGAATTTAAGATTTCAAAATTTGGGTTTCAAGATAAGAAATTGTTATAGATTGCGAAGGGTCTCGGGTTCAAACCCCGGTCAGGTCACTATAAAAAATTATATTCAATATTATATAACTTAATATGCAATACTAATAAATATTAAAAAACAAGTAATTTTCAAATATTCATAATATTCGATACTAAAAACTAAGAAAAATAAACAGTAAATATTAATAACCTCAAATAATTAATATAAATAAAACTACGGTAGCCCTATACTCCTCCTAGGAGTGAAGAAGAAAAAAAAAAAAAAATATACATATTATGTCACTGTACTAAAATCAAAAAGCTTTCCGATAGAATTTTGTATTTTGGTGATTGTTTGTTTATATAGACAAAACTAGTTTCGTGATAAGAAAAGCAATTTTAATTTTAATTGTGAAATGAAGCGCGTGTTAAAATATTTTAAGACAATTTTTATATTTACAAAATTATTTCGCAAGTGTAAGTTAGGGATTATCAACCAGCATACCTCAACCGGCAGATAAATATAAATTTTTCATTTAAATGTAATATCAATAATTGAATCCATTATTGAATAAGCAAAAAACGGTTGTGATTCTATATAAAAATTTGTAAACAAGAAATCATTAATAATTGAATGAACTCTAGTTATTATAAACCTGGAATTCATTAAGATTTTTCAAAATTTGCATTGCACTTACACATAGTAATCTCGCTGTAATTTTAAAACTAATTCACCTTGAACTCTTGTAGGTTAACGAAACGTAATGGACGATATGATGATGATGCGCTTGCAATAGTAGAATTGGAAAATAATATACTCTATGATCCGTATGTGATATCCGCTTGTATTGATTATAACATTGAACCATTTGGCCGACAACAAGAATTCATAAGAGAAAATTTAGAAAAATTTAAAGCAACAAAGTAAGTAAAAATATTAAACGGCCGGAATTAGAAAAAAAACTTAATCACTGTCGTATTTTCTTATACTTTTAGAACATTGGATTACTCTTTTATAAAAAGTCCATGTGCACCAGAACATTTTATGAATGTTGTTCAAAATGAAAATGCTGTTGAATTCAATTGCTTCTTAGGTAGTCGTAAAATACCATGCGATAAACCATTAGAACAAGGATCAATAGTAAAAATCAATTGTAAACTTGGCTATCAAAAAACAAATTTTCAAAGTCCCGATGAAATAAAATGTGTTTCAGAGGGGAAATGGGATCGTAAAGTTGATCATCAGTGTGCATTAATATGTGGTCAACTTGATATTGAAAAACCAAATATAATACCATTAGTTTCAAATGGGGAATCAATTGATATTGTTAATGTACCATGGCATGTTGGTATTTATGCAAACAATACCGGTACTGGAAAATTTGAACAAATTTGTGGTGGTACACTTGTACATTTTAATATTGTTATATCGGCAGCACATTGTTTTTATAATGAAGAACAACATAAACAAAATCCTATTTGGGATTACATGATTGCATCTGGTAAACGTTATCGTGATTATAATTCATTTGAAAGGCATGCACAATTTGTTGCTGCTAAAAAAATTCATATACCTACAACGTAAGATTTTTTAATTATATTTAGTTTTTATTTTTATTTATAATATTTGTTTTTTCTTTTACAGTTATAATCAGGCTTTTTTTCGGCATGATATTGCAGTAATTGTTTTAGAACGAAAATTAATGTTTAATGATCATACAAGACCAGCATGTATTGATTGGTTTCCATATGGTAAATATGATATTGAAGCAAATAAATTAGGACGGGTTGTTGGTTGGGGTGCTACATCACCAGACAAAAAATCTAGTTCAAAACTTTTAGCAATTGAATTGAATACATTAAGTAATAGTCAATGTAAAGATAAAGTTAATCGAAATAATAGAGAAGAAATAACTGGTGAAAAATTTTGTGCAGTTGGTTTTAGAGGTGAATCAGCATGTCAGGGTGATAGTGGCGGCGGTTTTCTTGTTAAAAAACGTTATAATTATGATGAAGATCGTTATCATTTATGGGGAATTGTTAGTTCTGGTATTGATTCGGATAAACATTGTACACCAAACTTTTTAACAACATATACAAATATTCAATATCATCAAGATGTCATAAAATCTATAATTGCAGATAACATATAAATATAAATGATTAAAAAAATTTTGAAAAAATTTTTATAGACTGAAAATCACGGTAATTCTAATGAAAAAAGAAAAGAAAAAACTCGAAATTTTAGATTTTGGGAAGAACTATTCTAGATTTTCAACATTTTGAAATTTCTTAATAAGAGTGGAATTGAAGTTGTTATGTGTTTTGAGCTCTAGATGCAATATTGGGAATAACAGTTTCAAACTACGCTATAATATTCACTGATATTAATGTTGTATACGCTCATTGATTACTGATTAAGATATTATATAACATTAGTTACTCGTAGATTATCGTGATAGAGATTGATTAGATATTAAGTTACTCAAAAATGAATAAGTTATAATTAAGTTTGAGTTTTAAATTTTATGTAAAGTGAATTATGTATATAAATATAGAAATATGACAAAATTTATTAATATAATACCATAGTAGACTAGAATTATATGTTTAGGCGAATAGTACTTTTTAAATATTGAATATTAAAATAAAATTAAAGAACACGTTTTCTAAATTATTTAAAGAGCTTTTTTTAATAAATAAATATAATTTTTAAAGCTTTTGTTATAAAAATGTAATAAATTTTTTACGTAATTATTTTTTAATTAATTAATTAATTAACACTAATTTTAATTGCAATACAAACCAATCTTCGCTAATTTTAATTGAAGGCTCCTGTCATTAGTTCTTTGCCGGAAGGTTTACAAATTTCATGTAGTCTAAAAGTGTGTTAGAATACTGGCTCATACTGTAGAACAGGAATATATACGCACTGATTTTTTACCAAAAAATCGTTGAATTTAACTGAGTTTTTCATTTACAAAAAGTTCGCATACAATTAATGTGCACTTATCCCAAACACGAATATTGTTTTGATTCAAAACAAACTATGTAATATGTATTATGTATGTATGAAAACCAACTGATATTATAATTTGACATCTAAAAATTTGTCAGTTCAAAATATGCTACTTTGACTTAAAAATTTTCAGGGGTTGCAAAAGTAGACACGGAGTTTTGCATTTTTCCGCGTTACGTGTATATCCGTAAATTTACATATGTAAATGTGTACGAAAAAATGAGGCTAAAATTGATGATTTTGTTAAAGCGAATTTTCTTTGTAAGCGTGTTGCTTATAAGCGCTTCCGATATGTGAAGTTCTTCAAATTATACCACTTTTTTTTGTTGCTTTTATATTGTTAATTATTGTCATTAGCGATTTTTGACAATTCCTTTGAAAAAATTTTAAAGTTTGTCAAGAAACTACTTTAAAAATCGGGTCTATGTTTATAAATAACAAACTTTTTTATTTTGTTGGTTATTTAAATTAGTTATCTATTAAAATAAATTCAAAAAAACTCATCCATAATGATAATTAAGCTTCATAATATTGTTCTTTCTTGATAATTTCTTAACTGTATAACACTCTCACAGTTTAACACCAAAAGTTTTCTTATTCAAGAAATAAATTCCTTTTGAATCGTTTTTTTTTTCTTCTCGAATTTATAAAATTTAAAATTTTTAATAAAACCATGGAAAAAAAAAAACTTTCAAAGTTTTACGGAATCTACAAAACTTTTTTTTTTTTTTTTGGGAAAACTTTGTCATTCTTTGTCACATTTCGTATGAATAACAAATTAGCACTCTGTTTTGAATATTTATATTTGTGAAACTGGAAGAAATAAATTATACAAAAGGCGAAATACAAGTTTTTAAACAAAAACTATTTAAAAATATGAGGGTTGATGAGACTAGAGATTTTCGTAAATGTAATGCTGCAAAACAATAACTGCGCAACGCAATACTGAAACAAGTAAAAACGTTTCAGTCGGTATAAACCGATTGAATTATACCCTGCACCTTTCGTTATTGTGTAGCAATTACTTGAACCTCTAAAATCATTCTATAGAAACTTCACGGACATGTCTGACCTATAATTGGACATCCGACTGCCAAGTTTCATGAATCTGATCTTATAATTTTTCCAAATGTTTAAAATTAGCTTTTGGAGTTGTATGGTAAGTACCTGAACCTGCCAAGCAATTCCACCAAAACTTCACAAATATATCTGATCTATAACCGGACACACAACTGCCAAGTTTCATGAATCTGACTTTATAATTTTTTAAATATTAAGAATAAGCTTTTAGACTTGTATGGGATCTACTCGAATCTGTTAAGCAATTCCACCAAAACTTCAGAAATATATGTGACCTATTACTCAACATACAACTGCTAAGTTTCATGAATCTGACTTTATTATTTTTCCAAATATGTAAAATAAGCTTTTGGAGTTGTATGGCAAGTACCTGAACCTGTCAAGCAATTCCATCAAAACTTCACAAATATATCTGATCTATAATCGGACACACAACTGCCAAGTTTCATGAATCTGACTTTATTATTTTTCCAAATATTAAGAATAAGCTTTTAGACTTGCATGGGAGCTACTCGAACCTGTCAAGCAATCGCACCAAAACTTTAGAAATATGTCGGACCTATAATTGGACACACGACTGCCAAGTCTCATGAATTTGACTTTATTATTTTTCCAAATATTTAAAATAAGCTTTTAGACTTGTATGGGAGCTACTCGAACCTGTCGAGCAATTCCACCAAAACTTCAGAAATATATTTGAGCCATAATTGGACACATGATTGCCAAGTTTCATGAATCTGACTTTATTATTTTTCCAAATATTTAAAATTAGCTTCTGGAGTTGTATGGCAGGTACCCGAACCTGTCAAGCGATTCCTCTAAAACTTCAGAAATATATTTGACCTATAATTGGACACATGACTGCCAAGTTTCATGAATCTGACTTTATTATTTTGCCGAATATAAAAAATTTGCTGTAGGAGTTGTATGGCAGCCACCCGAACCGGTGCAGTTATCCCATTATAATTTTTAGAGCATGTGCAGAATATAATTGGACACATGTATACAAAATTTTATATTTATACCTTTATTAGTTTTTGAAATATTTAAAATAAACTCTTTGAGTTGTATGGCAGCTACCCGAACCCGTTGTCCGAATTAGTCCAATAACAATAGGGCTCGTCCTTGGCACAAAAGAAAAAACTTGTGAAAGTTTGGTGTCGATTGCATTATTCGTTTTTGAGTTATCGTGCGATCGGACGGACGGACGGACGGACGGACGGACGGACGGACGGACGGACGGACGGACGGACAGACGGACATGTCTAAATCGACTCAGAATTTTACGCTGAGCAAGAATATATATATATGTCCATACCGCAGATGACTCCTTCAAGTAGTTACAAACTCCATACCAAAGTTAATATACCCTTCACGAAGTGCAGGGTATAAAAATGTGCAATATATTTTTAACTATTGAACTAAATCTAAAAACTTTATGATATTTAACTGCTTTCGCTATAATATTGCGAAAAATTTGCCATACTGATGAATAAATTAGGTTAGCAACATTTTGTTTATGAACTTAAAAATACAGTGGAGTCCGCTTATAGTCACACAAAAAATTTCATAAAAATGTGTGACTATAAGCATCATATGCCTATAAGCGTCAGTAGAAAAAAAAATTTATAAATAAAACTCAAAACTTTATTTTTTTTTAAATTTAATTTTAAATTAAGTACTTACATATATGATTATGTACGTACATAAATAAAAAACCCATTTGCTTTACGCAAAGAAAAACAAAAACAAAAAATTCATATACATACTTACATATGTAGTACGTATGTTAAAACAAAACAATATTCAAAAAATTCTTTAAGGAATCAAATCTAACGTCTACATGTATGTAATGACAAATTTTTGTTGTGGAAATAATGTACCTATGTATGTACATACACAAAAGTGACAGAAAAAAATATTTAAGTTACAACATTTGCCGCTACAAATTCGACAACAAATATTGTAATTAAACTATTTGCCGTAAAGTAGGTAGTAAAGCTACTTACCGCTTTAAAAAAAAAAGGCGTTCAGAGTATGTGACTATAAGCGACGTGAAATATATGAATTAAGCAATATGGTTCACAAAAAATACGATCCAATAACCGTATGTGACTATAAACGTTTGTGACTATAAACAAATAAAAATACATGAAAATATAATAAAAAAGATGTTGACAACGAAATTGTTGACTGTAACCGAATTATGACTATAAACAGTAGTGACTATAAGCGGATTCCACTGTAGTGCAGTTTTCCCGATATACTGCATTTATGAAAAGGCCTACTATTTTATCCCAAAAACGGATTTATATTAAATTATTATTTATTTCACATAGCTATTGTATTCCAAAAATTATTTTAAAAATTCAATTTAATTTTAATGATAACATAGTTAAAAGTTTTATAGTTGAAAGAAAAGAGTTAAAAATTATACCAAAACTTTGGTTGTAAATTTTAATTCAGTGAACACTAATTAAAAAAATAATTCATAAATGTTGTAAAAAAGTTTTAATGATCCCGGCTAGCATTCTCATGTAATTTTCTTTTATTTTCTAAGTTTCTCTTCGCAACAGTACAATAATTGCTCGTAATTAAAAGTTTTTTTGGTTTATAAGTGTTCCGTTATAATAGAAAAGTTGTTTATGTATACTTTTGTATTTTTAGAATTGATTTTTCATACAAAATGTCAATTTTAATAACCTTGTTATTAATATGAATGTATGCATGTGTGTGTGTGTTATTTGAAATTTTAAAATGTCATTGTTAATATTGTCAAATGTTACAAAATACAAATTCAAATTTAAAAATAGAGCGAAATTAAAAAAAGAATTTACTTACCCAAAAATATTCTCTTTTAAATCCTTGAATTTTACGATGGGAAGCACCAATTTGATGTAAATATTCAAAAAATGTATCTAAATCATCTAAACCTCGAATACCCTCATCTAATGTTTCCATTACTTTATTTGCATGTTCGGCTAATTCTTCAGAAGTTGCTTGTTGCTCTTTTGTTTTTAATTCTTTAAATTTTGAAAACATACCAAGAAGATCAGCATGTTCTTCAAATAATCTGAAAAAGAGAACAACAAGATTATTATTAATTTTCAATAAATATTATAGGGTAATTACGGGTTTAAAATAAAATATTTGTACACTGGAAAGTTACTTGAAATTGCGATCAAAAATACGAACGTGTTTTGAAAATTTCAAAATATTAAATCTTGGATGCGAACCATTTTTTCCCAAGTAGTCACTATTAATTTCGAATTCACAATATAAATTTTTCGACCACTGCAGTGAATGAACAAAAGTAAGTTTGTTACGTACTGAATATTTACATAATTCGTCTGGTTAGAGTAGAAATATACTAACTAGGATAGTTTAAATTTAACAAGTGTTTTTTATCGTTTAAAGCTGTCTTTGAAGAATTTAAATAAGAACTAAATTTCGATATTTAATTTTCTCTCCCGGACAATTTGCGTCAAAACATGCTACTACATGTTATGACTTCATGACATCACAAACTAATCAGCGTCCTTACTAAGAATTGCAATAACTAAATTTTTCATTCAAAAGAGTTAGTATGTAAAATTTAAAATTTTAAATGAAAAATTCCTGTTAAAAACAAAATTTTTTTTATAATATTTTTATAAAATTGATTTTTAAATTCAAAATGTTTATAACTTTTTCAATAACTTCAAATAGAATTAAAAATTATTATATTGTTTCAATAAAAGGATGAAGGAATAAGTGGTTTTTGTTCTTGAAAGGTGCTAAAAGAACAAAGAAAGAAAATGTCAAACAGAAAACCGCATCGTTTTGAAAAGGGAAACTTTTTAAAATGAAAAATGAATGTTATTGAATTGAAAGAAAAAGTAATGAAAATGTCAAAAATAAAATTTTATTTAACCCTTTTTTTTCCTTGAGCATTCAATATTGTTTTCAACATAAACATTATGGATTTCGTACACATTACAAATATGAAATTTATTATTAAGTTAGTCAAATTGAAAGATTTAATAGAAATAAACAAATTGTTTGAATGTTCATACTAAATGTGTAATTAAAATCACATAAAATGTGTTTGTATGTACATTATATTTTTCAAGAGGAAATGAGATTTCGAACTTACATATAAAAATTTGTTAAATTTCAATTTGAAATTAGTTCAAATTTGTAGTCAACACTGAAGCGATTCATTCGATTCATCGAACCTCTGTCATATACCTACTACGTCAAGTACTCTTTAAAATGGCAGATATTAAAGGTAATTTAAATTAACAAATCTGATAAATATTGTAAATTGTATTTATATTGTACAAAATTCGCATTCAATTTTAATTTGATTTTAAAATAATTTTTTGAAAATGAAATTGAAATAAATTTGATTTTTATAATATTTAAAAATTACATAGCACTCAAATCTCTTATGGGAACCTTATTTATATTTTGCTATTGTAAGAAAAAACGAAGTTCTAAAATATTTTTCTAAATTATTCATATACTTACATACATACATTAAATCTAAATAATATTCTTAAATGAAATAATTTTTCCCATGAGGATTTTATCCTCATTTATTTTGCCGACATTATAATTTTTATTGAAATTATATATAGGGAAATTTCTCAATGGCATTAAAATTTCATAATTTTTTACTTAAATTAATTGCGTCATTTTGTCAATTGAATTGAGTGTTTTCCAAAATATTACTGAATTGTTTCTTACTTGATACGTAATACATATGTTGAATTAAATGAATTGCAAAAGGAAGTTGAAATTAGAAAGTTAAATAAGAAAATTTATTATTTCCCTTTAAAACATACTCGTATATCCGACAATTGCTTATTACAGACATTTAGTATAACCAATACTCGTAAACGTTACTATAATTATCAGTTACTATAACTAAAATCAGCAGTTATAGGTGGAATGGGAGACGGGAAGGAAAATTGTAAGAGAGGAGCTTTAATGGCATTTTAAACATGAATTGAGCGAGTTTTTTCTTTTAAAATTTAAAGAGTAGCTTATATTCTTGCTCCCAAAATTTATAATTTTGTCTCAATGTTATCTTAACCCTTAACATGTTTAAATAGCGTTTATTTTATTGTTATCTTAAAAACAAATTCCTTAAATATATTTAATAAAAAAGAAAATATTCTTAAAAAATTGAATTTAAAGTGGATTTTGAAAAAATATTTGGCAACAAAATATGAAAATTTTCTGTAATAATGCTAATATGAGATAAAATGAGATTTTTAGTGATCAATACACCGATTTAAAATCGATTTTGTTTTTTTTCGACATCATTACTGACTTTCAGCGAATTAAATGCGCTTTTGTATTGAAAGCTTATTGCCTAAACCTTTTAAATTTTATGAAGGATTTACATTTTTTAATATTACATAAGAGCATCTAATGATTTATGTGTTTCATCTTTTCGTCTTTTGTCTTATAACTTTTTCAACACTTCACAATCATTTTGTAAAAAGAAAAAATTAAATTACGATACAAAGAGAAAATAAAGTGATGTTAAAATGAAGAGAAAAAAAAATCTTTTTAACCATCATTTTGTTCTCAAAAAATCATTATTTATTTTTTAAAGATTGTGTGTAAGACAAGTGTGTGTAGATATATGAGTGCACTTATATGCTATGTCTTATGTGTATATCAGTTTCAAAAAGAAAAATAATATCATAAAGAATGAGAATTGATGAAGACAAGAATGGATTCAAATGAAAAATTAATAATTGTGAAAAATTGAAATCAGGCTAAAAATTGAATTGAAAAAAAAAAAAAAAGTTAAAACATTTTGGTCGATCTAAACTAAACCGACTGAATTATACCTTGCACTTAAGAATCTGAGTATAAAAATTTGTTTTAGAAATATTTGAAAGTATCTGACTTATAACTGGATACATGACATTCAAATCTAATGAATCTACCTTTACAACACAAATTTAAGCTCCACTAAAAGGAAGTGCAATCTCCTCCTAGGTTTTCCAGGTGGAGGCTTACGACTTAATGTGCTCCTGAGTGTATTACAAGGCACCTCAGGAAACGCAAAACCTTTTGTCCGATATGATAACATCAAATTTAATAAGGGATTTTGTTGATGTCCTCGGAGCTCTGACTAGATACAACAGTTTAAAGCAGATATTAAACTATTTTTCGGGCCTGTACCTTGCTTGAGATGCCGAGGACGATTCCCCTCCACATCCTTGATAACTGGCCTAGGTGACTGCAGAAGTCGGTTCTCAGGAATGATGCATTACAAGAAGTTTGTTGAGCCCTTCAGGAAGCGAAGACGAAGCTCTTTGAGTCGTCTTGACATAAGGCTGGTAGTTGAAGTGCTCATATGACATTGTCTCTCCATGGTTCATGTGAAAAGAATGGGCAAGTTAATATAACTTCGGGTGCTAAGATTCGTCACCAATACTCCTACCCGTCTACAGAATTATTGGACACAGTATACTGCTACACGTTTACAACTATATACAATATGTTTCATATTAATACCTATATTAGTTTTTAAAATATAATAATCTCTTTATGTTAGTCCTGGGTCCGTTTATGACATAGGCCGGAAAAGATTTGTTTATGACATAGGATATTGGCAGGAAAAAAATATATTTCTTTATGGAATTTACCGTTAAATTGAAAAACGTGAATTATTTTTAATCGAACGACAATAACCTCAACTTTTCATTATACTCTTTAACTGTCGTAGCAGAACTTGAGCATTAGTGTTAAGATCCTCATATAATTAGGTACATACTTACAAAATACACTTACATAAAGATTAATGTCCCTAAAATTTAATCTTTTTAAACCGCGAAATTTCCGCGTATGTTGAATTTATTACGGTTTTTTTCAAAGTCAACCCTTGTTTAAATTGTTTTTTTTTTTAATACTACAAATTTATATTGTTATTTTTTTCTTTCTAAAATTAAATTGATTGCTTTTAAATCTACTACTACAACAAAAAAACCAACAAGAACCAACAAAAAATTTTAAATAAAAAAAAAACAAGATTTTTCATGCACAACAAAATAATTTGTTATCATTCCGGCCGGATGTATTCATGTATTCATGCAGAGTCACAAACAAGTTGAAAGAGTAAAAGAGAAAATATATTTTATTTTTTTAACTTCCTTTGGGGAACGTTATTCCTCCGAATAAATTTTTATTTTGGAGAAAAATCACGAATAGGAAAATATATTTTGTTTTTTGTATGATGACAAGTTCGCAGCTTCTCTTGCACACGTGCAGTTATAAAGTGTATGTATATATACAAAGAATAATAAATAAATAATATGTGTGCATGTATGTGTTTATAGAGAAAATTTAAATAGTCGAAAAAAACTGAAAATTTTCAATTTATAATATTTATTTAAAGTTTATTGTTAATAAAAAAAAATAAAATTTTTAATTTAAATTTTAGTTTTATTTGATTGAACGATTTATGCATTTGTTTTTTATTTAAGTAAACATTTAATTTTAACTGAGTTGACAAATACGTACATATACTTTAAAAATAAATTGAAATTTGCTGCTACAGTGATCCTGTGTGAAGAATTATTATGTACACACATACATAATCATACTCTTATTTTATTTGTTTAGTGTAATTGGATAACTTAAAATTTGCGTTTTTAATTTCATTTTGTGGAACATATGCATAAAAATTGCAGGCTTTTTAAAGTGAGTTTTAATAAATTTTTATGGACGCTGTAGATCACTATTCATTCTAAAATAGTTAATAATAAATAAATAAAAATTATATATACGTTAAAAGATCTGGTACATTATCGACTTACACTCTGGACCTCGCTTTGGATGTCCAGGATACTCACTACAAGGGGCACAGAAACTGTAGTCAGGCGGAGCACGGTGAACATATGCACGGGTAGGACCTGTCCACAGAATGGAGTCTTTTCTCCACTGATGTGGTGTCTGGTTGTGGATGGCCTACTTGAGCGCATACGCTGATGATATTGTTATCATCGCTAGGGGGAAGTTTGAGGAGGGTCTTTGCGACATAGTGCAAAGAGGCCTGCAGGTGACACA